GTGATAAGAATAAAACTGGCAACCCAGTTCTCATGCTCATGACACATACCCCACAGGAATAGATATCTTGGATATATTTGATGTAACATTGGGCAGCCTGTTCTGACTCAGTCAACTGTTCATGAAGCCTACAAAAGAAATTGGTCCTATAAGTACAAATCAGATCTCAAAGCCAGCTAGTGATAAAAAATAAAAGCACATGACTAAGATCAAAAAAGGACAAACAGACAAGTACAAATTTTGACGTACATGGCACACCAGAATAGTATTAGTGCCCAGATGTGATGGTTATTTTATCAAAACTTAGAATCATTACTCTGTTACTGGTGATGGAGGGAATGTTAGTAAATACTTAAGCTAGATAATACATCTTTTCAAAAATTCTCTGGTAATACACTGAGTGAGATTAAAAAGAGATACCGAGCAATTTAGATTTTTTTCTAAGAATCCAGAAAAGAACTGGCATGAACGAAATTGCATTTAAGAACCTCTTTGCCTACTATTTCTGAGTTATTCCTTATTTTCCTGGTTCTTATTAGGAGATTAGTACTTAAAGTAGTTTTCCTAGACTGCTCTGACCTGAAAATTTCATTTCTTTCGATTCATTCCTGACCCCTTGCCTAAAATGAAAGCAATTCCCCCTTCAAAGACAAGTGGCATTCTCTTGAGTCAAGATGGTTAAATTTCCAGACCAGGATTCTTACACCCCGCTACATACCACACTCTTGTAGGATGATGGATAGGAGGCTCTAGTGCATGCGGAACCCACCATACCAGAGAAGCCAACAGAAATATCAATAGCATTTCACTCCTTTCACTCACTTTGCCAGTTTCACCAGAGCCATTTTCTCCACATCTCCCACGGCGTAAGCTCTCCAATAACACTGTCAAAAAAATAAACTAGTCACTTTGACCATTGCCCCATGTGGAGGTAAGGCTTAATGTACCATGACTAATCACATAAAGGTTCAGATCCTATTAGCCTCCCAGAACTTCAGATTTGTAGGATGCAAGGCAGTTTTACTAAATCTGATAGGTCCAGGTTATATACTGACATTCCCATGATATCACCCCCACTTTGCTTTTTTTGCCTATGCACCTCTAAATATTCAGATTTCTCTATGTAGATATATCAAAATGAAGGAAACTTAGAGCGCAGATAGCCCAACTTTTCATCCAAAAAGCAGATTTCCATTTAAATTCTCCAGGACCCAATTTCAGATACCTTTTTGGCTTCCACTAGTTGATTGAGTTTCTCATAACATTCTCCTAAAGCAACCAGCATACGAGAATCATTGGGCCTAAAAGAATGGAAATAGTCAGTCTGAGCAAAGACTTGATGAACCACCACCACCATTGCTACAGTATGTCCCCACTTGTCCACCACCACCATTGCTACAGTATGTCCCCACTTGTCCACAGTTTCACTTTCCAGTATCAGTTGCCATAGTCAAGTGTGGTCCATAAATATTAAATGAAAAATTGCAGAAATTAATTTCTAAGTTTTAAATTGCATGCCACTGTGAATAGCACATGAAATCTCACACAGTCCTGTTCCTCCATCCAGGACATGAATCATCCTTTTGTCCAGTGTGTATTCACACTGTGAATATTACCCACCAGTAAGTGACTTAGTGGCCATCAAAAGAGAAATAAAAGTATCAGCCCTTCCCACAACAAACACATCGTCAAGTGGCCAGACTTACCGAAGTTGGTGGGCCCGTCTATAATAATAAAGGCAATAAAATGGCATCTTAAGGATTTCATAGGTCTGCCCAAGGCCATACCAGGCTCTGTAGTCTCGCTTATTGACCTCAATGGCATGTCTAAGAAATGGAAGAGAGATCGGTAAGAGGGCAGAATCAAGGTTAGCGACTTATAGGCTCAATAGAGGCTCTTAACATCAGCAACCTACTCCACCTCACCAACCCCCACCCCCTCAGCTAGAAGCTCACCTATAAGCCTGAATAGCAGCAGATGTGTTTTTCATTTCCATGTACTCATGTCCCATCAGTGTCCAGGCCCCAAGATACCGAGGATTCAATTTCAAGGCTCTCTGGAAATATAAGGCTGCTTTCTCGTGCTGAGAACGCAAACTATAATAATTGC